GACGTTCCCATCCCGTTCAACGATGTCTCGTTGATCGAGGCTGATTATAGAAACAAGGCTGCTGAATTCGAATATGTGTCACGAGCGTTCGATGCCAAAGTAGTGGCCATTGATGACGCAATCAGACGAGAGCTTGGCTTGAAGACGTGGAAGATGTGCATGCCACATGTCTCATCTGCTGCCGCTCACCGCGTTATGTAACAGGGCGATCAATGCCTTCAAAAACCACTCTTACACAGCCAGTGCCATCCCCAAAATTTTGGACAGCCCGGCAAGACAAGTGAGAGCGCATGCAAGACTGTCTACGATGACACAGTCAATGTCAACTACCAAAGAAACTCTCGAAAAACTGATCTTTGTTTCATTAGTCTCTTGCATAGAAAACTGCACGCCCCTTTTATTACTTTTCAGGCATATTTTTGCCCCGTATCAAACAGTTATTCGGGGGCTGCCTGAATGCTAAACCCAGTTCAAGGTAAATAGAGTAGCCTGAAGCGCCCACGACTCGAACCAAACGAGTTCATGCCTGTCCACCAGCCCACCAGCTGTCGTCAGCGTGGTGAGCTTCCCGAACTTCCTCTGTTTCCAGAGCCAATCATAGCATCAGCTGTTTTCAGTAATAGTACTGATTACGTGCCAGAGTGCCACAACTAACGTCGTCATTGATCAGGCGCGGACGCCTGAACGCGTGTTCATGGTGACTCCTACGAAGTCGCCAAAGACTGGCTAAAGGATTTTGAGTGTGTTGTTGACTGAAAGGGGTGGAACGACGACAAGAAGCTCTGCCCCCTCTATATCATGTTGCAAGACAATGTACGAACGTGGTTCAAAAAGCAAGAAGGTGCCCTTCGGGCTTTGAACAATTTCCGACTTGAGCTCCTGGTTACTTACCCGGACACAGTCCACACAAAAAGAGCTGAATCTGCTTTGCAATCAAGGAATCGGTGAAAGAACTACAGTGCGGCAACGTATGTCGGAGACGTGCCCAGCTTGTTTATGAGCGACAAATATGAGCGACGTTAAGTAGCGTCGGCATCTGATGCGGGGCGTGAAACAGGAGATTTATGCTGGTTTGGTAGCAAGCTCTCAGAGAACCATCACCGATTTGACTCCAAGGCGATGGAAGTGAAAAGAACCCTTCAATGGTGGACGAGGTACTACAACTGCGATGTGAACAATGCAATTGTAGACGCAGTTCCCGAGGTCTTCGAATGTAGCATTGACATGTTGCGATACTTGATCCTGTTTCAGAAGAGCTGCAGAGGCAATCGCTGAACGGCAGCCCGGCACCGGTCGCGTCGTTGGAGGAGGTGATTCGCGAGGAATTAAGGCACACAGCCGCAAACACATCATTAGGTGTCATTACCTGTGCAGCCAGAACGCTCGTATGCTGTGGCAGTGAAAGGAACCTCCACACCTGCTTTCGTTCCGGCCGCCACCCACAAAGTTCACACCACCCCTGCCGGAGGTGAAATTTCGAATAGTGTATATATGGCACACTCCTGATCGAATACCACTTCATTATCACATCGGCGAAGCTGGCAAATTTTACCGAATGTGAAAACACCGGCCAGCAGGACTTCAGGGGTTTCGCGTAAACCCTCAATGGCCAAGAAATGAAGAATGTCCATCTGAAATCGAATAGTGTCAGTCAACGTGACAAGTTCTTCACTCCCAGCAACAGCGTGAGTCGCGGTCGAAAGTGCCACTAATTTATCATAAACCAAGCCCAGGTACATCCTCGAACACTTCTAGGCGGAGTTCCCGAGGTGCACTTCGGGGAAATCTAGAATCAGCAACCTGTGAAGGTGAGGCCATTTCCGACGCAATACAGAACCTCACTCAGAAATAACATGGTAATTTATTACTTTTTTTCTGGTCATGAAACTGCCACGTCACTAAATGGGAGAGCTTCATACGCCACTCACACATACAGCGCCACGGCGCTGGCATATATAGAGGAGCGAGGAAGCCGGCTCTGACGGCTGCTTCGCTGTCCATCATTAGCGGAGTGCTGGCGGTTGTGCGGATTGCCCTCATATTAACGCGATGGCGTTAGACAGCTCGTGTCGCAAAAATTCCGCCGTCAGTGTCGGCACCGTTGGTAGTGTTAGAAACATCGAGAAAGAGACAAATAAAATAAAGAATAAAAATTTCAATCACATTGAGGAATAAACCCGCTGCCGCTCTCGCGGCAAAAAGGTGTCCTACCACAAAACCACGATGCTACTTGCAGCTGCTTCGGGAAAAAAACACTACATAAAGCCATGTAGTGAAAGGAGTCGATTTAACGCATTTTGTTTGACAGGTGTCACCAGGAGCGTAGCGAGAAGTTTTTCTCGGGGGGGGGGGGGGATTCACACAGACTCGACGGGGTGGGGGCACAGATATCAACTTTTCTCTGTAAAGTCACAATCGGCGGTAGTGTAACAGATGGTGCACATGCATGTATATCAAGTCATGATATTCCTCTTTCTTCATGCGCTTGTTTGTGAAGAGAGTAAGTAAAAGTACTGTAAGAATGATTTATGGATATTTCGGGTTTCACGTCCTAAAATCACCTTATTGTTATGAGAGACGTCGTAGTGAAGGAATTTAAAAATTTCGACCACCTCGAACTCTTCGACGTGCACCCAAATCTGAGCACACCGGTCTATAGAATTTTCGCGTCTATCGAAAATGCAGCCACTGCAGTCATGATTCACTCCCTAAATTTGCGGGCTAGCAGCCGAGTACCTTAGCCACTATACCACGGCGGCGGGGCAGTACTGCAAGAAGTACTGTAAATAACGACAGGTACAGTGACCGTTTGAATCAATGGCCTCTCGCCACACCACTGGATGTACTAGTATTCGAAAACGCGATATTGTGATTACAAATCTGGTTGGAAAAGAAATCAGTATTTTTTAATCTTTGTTAAGCGTAGATGGCGTAGTCCTCATCGGGTTGAAGTGCGCTTGACAGGTCAAGGAGGGTTCCGCTTACAACAAGCAATAATAGGTATATGCAGCGTGTTTTCGTACAGTCATGATTACATTTTTGTTTTGCTTTGTTTGCTGAGTAAATTTCTTTGTCGATGCCTATGACTTCATGCCTATGGGATTCATTTTTATGTTATTGCTTGAAGATTTTTTTTACTTTACTGCATGCATCGAAGCATGCTTACTATACGCGATAAGTAAATTTTTGTAAGATATTCTGCAATGTCGGCAACACCATTCTGCACACATCATTTTCTGGGCAGACTTTCAGTTGCACTGGGAATATTGATGGCAATGAAGTACTCCAATCGTAGATGTTTTATCGTGCAATCTGCGAAGGCAAGGTAATCATTTAATGATTAATATTTACTTCGTCTCAATCAAAAGTTCATGTACGACCGAACTAAACCAACTCAGATAAAATTTGGTCGCTACGGATATGTGCTAGAACACCCAAATACGTGCTAGAAACGGGGTGTGTGCTAGTATTTTTTGTAGCTTTCTTCACTCGGCTCCCTGAATGGATAGCGTTACGGCAAGGCGTTTTCCATTCTTTGCAAGGGTGCAGGCAACTTTTCGTTTTACCTGAAGAGATCCAGAACTGTACAGAATAGTTCACCACGCAGCATACGTGCATTCATGTTTCCAGCACTTACACCTGCGTGAACACGAGCAGCCTTGAACCACACAAAATTTTCAGTGATCGGTTCCCCAGTGATAAAGGAATGAACTCTAGAGTTACACAGAACGTAGTGCACCATAATCAATTTCTCAAAACACGTGAACTCCAACGAGAACCGCCAGCGCATGCAACACGCGTTTACATACGCAGAACTGTGCACCCTCCATGCCTGTTGGTCGTCTGTTTCAGGCATTCTGATGCCAATCGTTGGAACTTCATAGAACTGCTGTTACCTTCTTTACGTTCAGTCAAGTTTGTGGCATCTCATAAAAACGCGACAGAAACTACCAGCTTTCCGTATGGGTTCAATCACAAACGTGAGAAATCTCGCGCGCATAAGAAGAAACTGAACGAGCGCGACTTGCCGGTACCTGAATGGATACACAGGAAATGTATACCCGCGAATCTTTCCGCCAAGCGAGAAAGAAACGCTAGTGTTTAACGCGGAAATTTACCAGCCGACATGTGTCGTCGCTAAAGTTCTCGTTCCTCACATTCAGGGTCAATGCCCGAACTTTGCTGAGCGCCTTGCTTTGTAGCAAATGCGAAGTCACCCCTTTGAAATACTCTTCGTACTAGTATTGCTTAGTAGTTCGTGTCTTGGGTCGATCAGCGCCCTTCTATGAGACTCGATGGTCGCACCAAAACGCCACGTGGTATAACGCTTGATGATTATTGAATTGGATTGAATTGTATTGAATTGAAGTGTATTTGTCCTGAAATTCTTACAGGAACAGGAGCAGAGGCTAAAGGCTATACAGCCTGACATGGGGCCTCTGCTCCTAAATACAGTTTGGCACGCAGGCCGCTCAATCTGTCGCAAATGTTTTCAGAAATAAATATATAACACAACAAATAACACACAGAAATATACAAATAACACAATGAATAAACCATAACACAACAAAATTTAGCATGGTCTTGTCACACTCTTTTAGGGAAAACTTTAGAAAAGTCACACTTCACGAAAAGTCGGAGGCGTCAGCAAATCACAAATTTTTAGTGCAAGAAATTCTCTCTGAAATAGCACATTCTCTTTACCTGTAAAATTTGTTCACTATTTTTTGCCGTTGGCTTGAAATATAGAACATGTTTCAAGCACAATGCTTTAAACTTTACGCTTTGAGAACACAACACGGACAAAATAAGATTTTGTAGTCTTTTTAAATGGCACCATACTCAACCTTGGCTAGTGTTTTTCATGCTCATGGAGACAGTTTATCACTCCAAATGACAGATGGCTTTGATGCCAGAATATGTGAATTTCACCCATTAACCAGAAGCCCTAACAAAGTGAAATCGAAAACAGATTATGCGCATACTAAAAGTAATCGTACCTTTTGACACGGCTGTGCATGCTATAGAAGCAACGAAAATCCAAGTCGGGAGAAAACTGAGCCATGCCATCGCTCCCTTTGGTTATCTATAGTGAATGACCGGGAAATGAGGTCTTAGAATAAGTTTCGATGCAATGTGCTGGATTTCCGAGCCACCACTTCAACGATAGCTTGAACACACAATCATCAGTCTGAAATAAAGCAAGATAAGTTGCAATGAAACAGATAAGTACGAATCGTCGTTACAGCATCCAATAGTTGAACGATTTCCCTCTCTTAGCACAAAAGGCAATTAAAGACAAAGTATTATCGACAAAATCTCGCGCGTTTTCCTGAGAAGAACAGATATATATGAAATTACCTGCAGAACAATGAAAAGGTCTTTGCCATTGTTAACTTCGGCTGAATCAATTGTTTTTTGATTATTGAGCTTTGAGCTAGGCTGGCCATGACGGTGTTTTCATTTGTATTGAATGTTTAGATTTTACCGTACATTAGACCTTGTATCACTTTCCCGAACTTATTTTCCAGTATCTCATCTGAGTTAAATATATTTAGCAAGGAAACTTTATGATGAATATATCCGCTATCCTGCTGTCCTGCTCTCCTGCTATACACCTATACACCGATATCCTGCTGATTTGCTGTCTTTTCACCGCAACTATGAAATGCCCAAAACTGCATTTTGTATAATATTGCTTCATAAGTAACGTGGTTCATTACATAGAGATTTAGTAAAATGGGAGGCTATCCCGGCTACGGCGGCTGAATTTCCGGTGGAGGCGAAGTTTTGTAGGCCCGTGCGCTCAGATTTGGCTGCACGTTAAAAAACCCCAGGAGGTCAAAATTTCCGGAGCCCTCGACTACAGCGTCTCTCCAAATCATATGGTGGTTTTGGGACGTTAAACCTCACATATCAATAAAATCACTTAAAATGAGAGGTAAAGAAGTAAAGCTCCCTTTGGTCTTGTTCAATAAATCCTGAAATATCAAAAGCATGAGCAGGGATGCGACTTTGTGCGAGACAAAGTCCTTGAGTATTGATTTTGGAAGGTGAAAGAGAGACGTAGAGACAACAGGTTCATGTAGATATTTTAGTGCTACTGAGTATTCTGCAGTAATAAAATTTACATAAACATGTTCCTTATTCCAATCCCCTTCATTCTATGTATTTTCTCTCTCTGAATGGGATACGCTAGAAGAAAATAAAAGCACAGAGCACGCAGCTTTTATTTCTAAGCAATAGTCGTGCGAGACAGAACTAATAGAATGAGCGCAATACACGAGATCTCGGCATATATACAGGTATACAAGTATTGATTATTTGGTGGGTTTTAACGTCCCCAAACCACCATATGATTATGAAAGACGCCGTAGTGGAGCGCTCCGGAAATTTCGACCACCTGGTTTTTTTTAACGTGCACCCAAAGATGAGCACACTGGCCTACAACATTTCCGGTATCATGGGAAATGCAGCCGCCGCAGTGTATACAAGTACTCTTATACATAACTGGTTCATGCAATAGAGACTGTGTGAGAAATAACTCGACACTAATGAAAACTGCGACAAATGCATACATTTGTAGGTGGTGTTCCTAAAGTCACAGCAATACCCAGACAACGTAACCGATTGTTCACCTACCATTGTAGCCGTAGAGTTTTAATCTATAAAACGCTTCACTTAGCTCTGCTGAGAAAATTTGTATTTATTATCACAAAAGTTTTAGTGTTCCAAAAGCAAGGATTAAATCAATGACTTTTACACTCAATAACTATGTGCGAGTAGTTTTCTTGGCTTTGCCGCTGTTAAGGTTCTGCCAGCCAGTGTTTACACAGACAGCGGTTTAGCAGTCGTCCATTCCAGTTAAAAAAAAGGCAATTCTCAAATACAGCGGGAATCGGTGATATGCGAAGCACGAATGAAAATTGTTGTTATGTTACTTCAAAATCAGCACGACCTTACGAGGCGTATGTATATTATGCCATACATGACTTCCATGCCAAGATTATTATGTTTGAACGTGTGTGTTACCCTCGTCGTTTATTCACGTACCATGAATTGAATTTTGGTCCCGTTGAGCTAGCGAAACAGCCGCGAACAAGTTACATGTGTAGAATGTAGGGATGTTTTACAAGACACACATATCATGATTATCTTAATTACACGTCTAATTTACCTTTCTCAACAATTGACGTCATGTAACACCAAATTTATTATATGTGAAGTTAGCGAAACAACTGCGAGCACACTATGAGTTTCGCATGTAGTCATGTTTTACATGACACGCATGTCACGATAATTGTGCTTGTACGTGACATTTACAAGAGTCGTCCGTTCGTGTCACGTAATACTAGATTTGGTATATTTGAAGCTAGCAAAACAACCGCGAGCGCATAAAGAGCATGGCATATAGTGATGCTTTACATAATACGCATGTCATGATTATTATGTTTGGACGTGTCATTACCCCCGTCATCCATTCACGTGCCGTAATTTCAATTTTTGTATATGTGAAGCTAGTGACACAACCACGAGCACACCATGTGCGTCGCACGTATTCATGACTTACAATACATGCATATCATGATTTCCACTTTAGGGTCTCTCACCTATGTTTGTCCCCCAGTCATGTCATACCGTACCAGTTATGCAATACGTATGTGAACGAAACCACCGCGAGAGCAGCAAGACCATGAATTGTAAATCATGGCATTCATGACACACATGTCATGACGCCTATGTTATAACTCGTCACTTATGCTTGTCATACCGTCAAATTATTCCGTATCAATTCTGTATCAATACCTTTATTGAAATAGCCAGTAGAGCTAAAAGTCACAGGTGGATAGATAGATAGATAGATAGATAGATAGATAGATAGATAGATAGATAGATAGATAGATAGATAGATAGATAGATAGATAGATAGATAGATAGATAGATAGATAGATAGATAGATAGATAGATAGATAGAGGCGAACTTCAACGCTCGAAGTTGTTGAAGTTCGCCAGGAAATTCTTCGCATTTAAAAAGCAACATGGGGTGCACGTTAAACAACACCAGGTGGTCGAAATTTCCGGAGCCCTCAACTACGGCGTCTCTCATAATCATATGTTGGTTTTGCGATGTTAAACCCCACATATCATTCAATCAAAAACAACAGTACATACCCACTATTCTGAATCTTATGAACGTGGAATTTTCCATAGAAGCACGTTCAAGGCTTCTTCTTAAGCCGCGGGTTGTTTTGAAATTCTCCTGAGCGAACTGTACTATAATTGTAAATTTTCACAGTGGCTCCTAATAACTTCAACACCAGTCTTGTGGCAACGCAAAATTGAGAACAGGTGAGCTTCCCATTCAACAGTAGAACGCAATAGCGTCACTGGAAACATTCGCATCATCTCATGCTCTTGCGAAAACTCGACCCAACAACCATGACTTGGAGAGAGGAACATTACTTCATGTTGGATTTGGCGACTCTAAACACAACACGGACAATACTTGCCTAATGCAAGAACAGTACGTATACATTTGAGCAATTCGTTGATGCTGTTCGTTGGGAAGATGGTGGTGGTAATTGTGATAATAATGTAGGTGATGATCATGGTAAACTACACCACAGAACTTTGTACTGGGTAAACCAATATGCTACTCAATAACTATGCAACAATGATCTAGTGTGACACCTCGATGAGTGGTGCTCTTATGTAAGGTAGGATTTTTTCACTACATGGCACTAGTATAAGCTTTGTTTCCGAAGAAGTTTTAAGGACTGAAGTAGCTCTGTGAAAAAGCTCCCGCTTTGCAAAGGGAGGGTTTTATTCGATCCTGGTTTTGACATGTGTTTTAGAGGCGAAGCTTCTCTTAGTCTAACCTTGTCACGTGTCAGGCGTAACCGGCAGTATTTTCCGAACAGCACAATAGATCACAATTTCACGTCTGATTTCCATATGGCGTTACTATACCGCTACTCTCCAAAGTGCCACTACTCTTCGATTGGCTGCTGCGCGCGTTTTTTCCTAAGTGTGTGAAAGAGGAGTGCCTCCCTCAGTTTCTTAGACAGTCGCCGTACTTGGCGGATGTTAGTGGCGCATGGACGAAGCAGAGCGGCGGGCAGGTTGAAGACGCTTGCGCACGGTTTTTTTTTTTCGGCTCGCGTCTCGTAAGTGTTACCTGCGCACACTCTGCATTCTCAAACGCGATCGGACGCACGCATGGATCGACGGACACACGGATGGATGGACGAACGAATGGACGCACGCACAGATGTACAGACCGACAGGCAACCTGAAAACTTTTTATCACGAAGTTAGGCCAACCACTACTGATGATTTTGCCTATTTGAATAATGAAGAACCGAAATCGGGACTAGTTGAGCATATCAGCCAATACCAAACACATTGTTTTGCTCATGTATAGCAGCTGCCTAACTGATACAAGTCAGCCCCTTAAAAAATAAGCGTTCCATAGATATGTGAGGTATAAAGCCATGGTTGGTAGAAGCAGAGGAGGAAGAAGTGCAGAACGGAATAAACATGGTCTGTTAAACTTTTATCTAACAAATCAGGATTTTCATTAACTAACCTATGTGTAGTTTGCAATGAACCGGAAACAATAGTTCACTTTCTTCTCACATGCCGCCGCTTCGCCTCACTGCGCTGAATAATTCTTGAAAGACCGATTGGTATGCTCGAATTGCCAGTCAATACATCCACCCTATTATCGTTTGGAGCCAGTCAGTTGGGTGTGGGCCGCAGTGCTATTCTGTCAGCGCTACATAAATTCATTCAAGCAACCGGAAGGATACGCTGCTAGTGGTACTGTCAGATATATCCAATTTTTTTTCCGCCTTCCTCATTCTTGTTAATTTGTTTTATATATTCTGGTTTATTGCATTATTCTGCAATTTTTCACGTTCTTTCAAAGGAACATTATTATTGTTCCTATCTAATTTCTCTTTATTTGTTTAGCAAGCTTCGTAAAAAATGATCTATTATGAGGTACAGTGTGGCCAATCCCCCATGTGGGTATGAGCCAAGATCTTCTAGGAGACAAGACAAGACAAGACATGGGGTATGAGCCAGGCCACGTCTGTCAATCATCATAGCGTCACACGAGTCGACAGGATGAAGACCTGGCGGCCACTTCATCAACCAG